TTCTTGCTCTATTGAGAGAGCATTTTGTTAGAAGTAAATTCATGTATATTATCTTATTAAGAAGATAATCATATTTTATTATAAGTAAAATACGTATAAATTATCTTATTGAGAAGATAATCATATTTTTATCAAAAGTAAATCTCACATATATTATCTTATTGAGAAGATAATCATATTTTATTAGAAGTAAATCTTATACACATTATCTTATTAAAAAAATAATCAGTTGTATAATCTCTTGAAGCTATAAAAAAGTTAATAACTGCCATGAACACAGTCACTATTACCATTTTAAAATAATTATATACGCATAATCTTAAAATAGTAACAGTCTTTTTGGTACCCCCTCTGTAGAGACAAAAACTGAAAATAAAATTGCAATCACAGAAATAATTCAAACTAGATCTGACAAAATCAATCAATTATGAGATAGAAAAACAACTCCAAAAATTAATCAATCTTTTTAATCCACCTAGATTATCCAGATAACAAGGAAAAGAACTATGTCAATTAGTTCACAATTTATTTATAGCTAATATATTAAAAGAATGTATATCAATAAGTAAATACCAAATATAATCTTGATTTCAAAAATACTCAACTCATACTACAACTGAAATAGCTAATATTATCCATAACTTACATGGAAAAATTACCATATTTAACTAACAGAGAACACACTATACACAAAGATCAAGATCTAATACTTCAGTTAACATATCAATTAGAACTTCTACATCAGTTCCCTCATCATCTATTTTAGCCTCAACCTCTAACACATTCTTCACTAATCTCTTCCATAGAAGAAGAGCTTCAGTCCAAACAAGAAATACAATAGAAAAAGAATCTTCAGAAGAAGAAGTTCATCCCCCTATTCTCCTAGACTCACTTCCATTACAACCTCAAAGAAATCAAGAAGAAGAAATGGCAGATCAAGCTGTACAAGCACTAGCCCAAATGCTCATACCACTTATCCAGGCAATGCAAAATCAACAAAATAGGCAAGTTGAATTGTCAACAGTACCACTTCTCTTTTTCAGTGATGGAACATATGAAGATTCTATGAATTGGATTGAAGAATTTACTCAAGCAGCTAACGTAAACAGCATAACAAATCCAAGAAAGATAGAAATAATATCTGCTTACTTGAGAAGAATTGCATCAACTTGATATCAACAAAAAAAAATTGCAGATGCTAACTGGTCTACCAGTTGGAATAATAATAATAATAATAATTCATTTTATCAAATCTTTATCACGTAATTCAGAACTAATACTCAAATTTTAGCATGACAACAACAGTTAAGACTGAGAATACAAGGAACAAATAAAGATGTAACTTCTTATGCAAAAGATATTCATATATTGCTCAGAAAAATTAATTCAACACAAACATATCCTGCTACTTACTATATCGAGTAATTTGTAAAAGGCTTGAAGTCAGAGATTATCTTTCATGTGAATAAATCTAACCCCAACACTCTAAATACAGCAATCACAGAGGCAATTAGTACTGAATTAAGTTATAGACAAACATATCAGAACCCTCTTAACTCTATTTCACTCATGCCACAAAATCTTGGCATTCCCTTCTCTATTCCAAATCCAGCAAATGATATGAGCAGAGCTATAGCTGATCTTATTAAACAAGTGAAGAAGTTGTCTACTCAGAATAATCAAAATTCTAATAACTGTTTTAACCAAGGAAAGACTTGCTATAATTGTGATAAAAATAATCACATAGCCCGGAATTGCAGACTATCAAAGAAGAATACAAATAGTAATAATAATAATAATAATACCTCAAATATTAAATGTTTCAAATACAATAAAATAGGATATTATGCCAACAGCTGTACAGAAAGAAACATGAATATCAGATAGTCAGCTCATCTTGGAATCAATATCATCATCACAGTACTGGATAATAACCTATTATTACAACAACTACAACAGCTTCTAGGTGGACAGTCTACAATAACTACAACTCCTAACACCACCACCACTAATAATAGTAATACTCCACATTTAAACTAGAGTTCATACCTGAAGAAGGTCAGAGTACGAGTCAATCTCAAAAATCTTCAACAATATTCTTATAACAATTATTGACCAAAACTGTAGAAGAAAATAAAAATCTAGAAAAAAAGAATGGAAAAGTAGTAGACGCAGTTCATTGTGAAGGAAAGGTAGAAAACCAGTCTATCAGAATAATAATTGATAGTAGATCAGTCAGTAATGTTATGTCAGTCAGATTTTTGAACCAAGTAGGAAGAAAGATTGATAAGTCCTCCAATATCAGTCTTATAGATATAAATGGCAAGCCTGAATGACCATTAGGAGAAATAGAAGAGTTAAAAATACAAATTGGAAACCTAAATCAATAAATTAATACCCTAGTCATGGAAAAAGCTGAGTATGATCTATTGCTTGGCAATTAATGGGCTAAATAATCTAAAGCTATTTTAAACTGAGATGAAGAACTTTTGAGTTTTGAAGTTGAAGGGGAGTTCATAATCATTTCAGTTACTTGTACTCAACAAAGATCAACAATGAAATTGATTAGTCTTGAGAGAGAACTCAAGGGTCCTGCTCTCGAAGATGATGATGAAGAGTATGAATTTGAAGAAGAGAAATTAGTTGATCAACCCTTATACATAGTACATAAAGAGCAAAGTGAGTAGCTTGTGTTGAAAGTAGAAGCTCAAGAAAATCTTATAAAAATCAATGATGAAGTCATTGAACAAGAAGAAAAAGAATGAATTCATCAGGAAAGGCTGGAAGACTATCATGCCTGTATCCATGGTAAAAAAGAAAATAACTATATCCAGTGCAAGAAGGAATAGGATATATTTAGACAGTTGGAAATACTATCTTAATCATCATTAAATGCCATCCCAACAATGATAGAAACTGACTTGAATCCAGACCAGCAACAACAGCTTATTCAAGTTATGAATGACTATAAGGAGTTATTTGATACAATATAACCAGGCTGAACTAATATCCTTCAGCATGAGATATATTTAGAAGAAGAAAGATCCATCATTCTTTGGCCCTATCATTGCAAGTCACTAATGAAAAATGTATTTCTAAAAGAGAAAATTCAAAAGATGTTGGATAATAGAATAATATCACCATCTGATAGTTCTTGGTCAGCTTTAGTAGTGATAGTTAAAAAGAAAAATAGGAAATTCCAACTATGTGTAGATTACAGAAAGCTTAATAAAGTTATCAAAAAAGACCGATATCTCTTGCCATGAATTGATAAACTTCTAGATTCCTTCAAGAATACTAAATATTTCACTACTATGGATCTCACAAGCAGATTCTGGCAAGTCGAAATGCACCCAAGAGATAGGGAGAAAATAGCATTTATTACTAATGAAGGATTATTTCACTTTAATGTTATGCCCTTTGGACTCACCAATATTCCAGCCACATTCCAAAGACTGATGAATAAAATCTTCAAAGAGTATATTGGGAAATTTATAGTTGTCTATCTTGATGATGTTATTATATACTCAAAAATCTGGAAAGAACATGTAGAACATATACAAAAAGTCTTGGAAAAACTTTGATAGGCAAACCTCAAACTCCAACCAGACAAATATACTTTTGATAAAAATCAGTTACCTTTCCTAGAATATATCATAGGAAAAGATAGAATTTATCCTGATCTAGCCAAAATAAAAAAAGTGCAAGAATTTCCAATACCTACTAATATCATGTCATTAAGAGGATTCGTTAGACTAGTCTCATATTATAGAAGGTTTATAAAAGACTTTGCTAAAATAGCAGCTCCCTTACATAAACTATTCAGAAAGAATGAAGAGTTTAAATAGATGGATAAACAACAGAAAGCTTTTGAATCACTCAAAAAATATTTGACTTCACCACCAATTATTGCTTATCCAGATTTCACAAAACTATTTACTCTTTTTACAGATGCCTCAGAACTCAGTATTGGCCTATGACCTAAGTCATAACATATTTGCAATATGATCTTGGTCATATGAGCATATGACCTAGGTCATAAGATCATAAGATCATAAAATTATGACTCTAGGTCATATGATCGATATGACCAAGGTCATATGATTAAATGTCATAGATCATAAATTCTATCCAATCAAAATTTAAAATTTTTTTAATTTTTTCATTTCATTTTATTATGTCTCTCCATAACTTTAGAAGATTTTTTACTTTAATAAAAAATCCAAACAACCCTACAAATACTCTTGTAATATGCAACTAATGTATAAGCAAATATAGTGAATTAGGAGCAGCTCAATTAAAACCAGAATGTTACACTGTTAACAGAGCTCGTCTGTGCTGTAATCATTTATCAAAATGTGAAGCTTTTCATGAAGCTAATACAGAAGAAGAAGTACAAAGAATTTTGGTTTTATCAGTACCAGAAGATAAAAGAAAAAAATGAAAAAAAAAATAATAATAAAACAGATGGTATGTTAAATTTTAAGTGTATTATATTTGTATTATCATGTTTAATAATTTTAAATTATTTAATATAGATGAAAAATCTAATAGTAGCAATGATAAAGTATCAATTTAAACAAATTCTATACTATCAGTAAATTTACTAGTCAGTTCAATAAACTCAACACAGTTATCTAGCCGACAAATAGCAATTACAAATTTTTTTTGCTGACCTCTTTCAGTTAATAATCAAATGCGATTTGAATAATTGCTATTAAGAATGATTATTTCTAATGCTCTGCCTTTTATGTTTATCGAAAATGAAGACACTATTGCTGTATTTGAATTTTTGGTACCAGGACTCAAATTATCAAAGCGCAAAATCATTGGTGGCAAAGTATTAATGAAAAGTACACAATCATTGCAAGATAATATAATCAAAGTTGCTAAAAATAATATGAATAGAGTAACTGCAACATTTGATGGTTAGACTAATGTAAAACAAGAACACATTTGGAGTGTAGTTTTTATAACTACAAGTGGACAATCTTTAATATGGGGTGCACATGATATCAGTTCAGAAAGATCATAAATACAAAATGTAATTAATCATATTGAATAATTAATAACTGAAGCTGAAGAAAAACAAATAAATATCAAGGCATTTGTTTCAAATTCAGCTGGTGAATATGCAGTAGCATGGTAATTTTTTTATTGTTTTATATTTTTTTTATTTTTTTTTATTTATACTTTAATTTTTGTAGTCGACAATTGTGAAGAAAATATCCTTCTAAGATTTTTTTACCCTGTATGGCCTATCAAACAAATTTGATATTTGGTGAAATCTTCAAAAAATCAATACTATATCAAAGAATCTCCAAAGAAGCAATACGAATAGTCAGTTTTTTTTACAAATCAGTTTTTTTTATGGGAAATCTTAGAGATGAACAAATATGAATTTATAACAAGATGATTGTATTAATTACATCTGGAGATACGAGATGAAATTCATATTATTTTTGTTTTCATTCTATATTAAAGTCAAAATCTGCTCTCAAGATAATATTATTTAATTTTCATTATTAAACAATCTAATTATTTAATATGTCAAACCAATTTTTAATCTATTGTTTTTATTTATTAGTTTCTTTTGGCTAAGTTTAATGATAATCATACTAATATAATTTGAATAGATAATATCTCATTTATATTGGCTAATAATCAATTAATACTACATAATAGTACTTAAAAACTTCTAGATGATATTGCAGATATCATAAATGATGCTCAATTTTGGATGACATTATTTAATCTACAAGAACTTTTGTATCCTCTTTGTGGTTTTTTGAACAAGTTACAAAAAGATATAGCCCAGCTATATGAAGTTATTCATTGTTTTGGATACATGATGAAGATATTCGAATCTCATCAAGATGTTGAATTTGGATCAAGAATGATGACGTGCATTGGATCATGTTGGAAAGAATAGGAATAACCATTAATACTTCTTTCTTTTGTACTACATTCTCAATACAAACTCACTAAATTCAATAATACAATTGCCAATCTAACATGGACTCATATTGGATAATGGCTTAAGTATTATTATAAAACATGGTTTAATTCTAAATCTATTTCTATTTTAGCTGAATTAATATAGTACAAGTGAGGAATTGATCCATATGATAGCAAATTATTTATGCAATTCAATGGAAATTTGGTAGATTTTTGGGAATCAACTGAAGGAATTAGTCCAGAATTAATACAAGCAGCAATTTGTATTCACAGTATTTGCGTTAATTCTGCATCTGTAGAATGTTTGTGATCTTGTATAGGATTATTGCATATTAATCGGTGAAATCAGTTACAGGTTTGTTTATCAATTATCAATAATTTATTTTTATTCATTTTATATTTACATTTATTGTAATTAATATTGTAGCAAAAAAAAGTCTTGGCAATGAGCCAAATTCGGAGTGATATCCTTTATTCTCACAAAATAAAAAACGTGAAAGAATATGATAATCAAATTCACTGATTACATATTGCGATACTTATACTACCAGATGAAACTATAAAACATGAATTAACTACCACTGGTTTTGATTATCAAGTAAGTGATGACAATGAAGATAATTTTGGAGAGGGAACAAGTGCCAGATCTTATGATCAAATAAATCAAAACTCTGAAGAAAATGAAGATTTGGTTACAGAAAAAGAACAAAGATGGGAAAATCTAATTCAAGAGTGGATAGAGTTTGGAAATTGTGAGAACCAATTTGAAAATCAGAAAGATGAAATTTTATTATCGAGTGATTAGAATACAGATTTTAGTTTAGGGGGATGAGAAAAACATCCTGCTGATGATGAAAGAGCCAAATGGTCTTTAGATTTGCTTTTTATTTCTTCTTTAGAAATACTGATATATTTTAATTCAGAGTTTACTGTAACAACATTATGGTAAAGCACAAGATAAGGAGAGATATTTGATATCATAGGTATTAGAATCAGATTTAGTAATTCTTCAATACTAATAAAATGGAATTAGAAAATAATTTATGTAAAATACTTGCTTATGATCTTTTCTGATTAGTATTATTTTTGTGCAGTTTCATCATGCTTTTCTGACTTTGTAATTATTTGAACTTTTCATCTAATAATTTCTCACAGAATGGATCTAACAAGAGGTCATCTTAATGTTTCTATAATAATAGAATAATTGTGAATAAATTGATTAAATTGAAAGTCTTTATTATTTTCATAATGATCTAGACTAACCCATGAAATAGCAACTATATGTCTAGACTGTTCTTACGTGCCACCCCATCAAATGAAAATATAGAAAAAATTGAACAAGCACCTGACTTGACCATCACAAAGTTCAGCAAAAAGTCTACAGTGTTATATAAAATTGATAAATCTTCTCCATACAAATGATTCTAAGCAAACATCACTCTAAGATCAAGCAAACTTACTATTATTATTAATAGTCTGTAAAGAGATTAAATTCAAATCTCCATTTATTCTTCATCAAATAAAAACTTTCTTAGTAACATAACTATAGTGACAGTATCATAAGGTATTCATAATCTTCATAAAAAACTCTCTTTTATTTCTTCAAAAACCTGCTCAGGCTAATTTTTTTTTGCATAATTTCTATTGGCCAATCATGTTATAATTTTCTATTGGTTAATCATATCGTAATTTTCTATTGGCTAACCATTTCGTAATTTCTATTGAATAGAATTATGACCAAGATCATAGGTCATATGACTATTTTTATGATCTTATGACCTATGACTAGTCATATAGGTCATAGAGATCATAATAGGTCATAGACCAACACTGTCAGGACTAGAATTAGGTGCAGTACTAGTCTAATATGATAGTGAAAAAAAGGAATATATAATAGCATATGCTAATAGAAGAGTTAGCAAAGAAGAGAGCAAATACAGTATAACAGAATTAGAATGTCTTGGAGTAATTTGGGCAGTAAAATTGTTCAGACCATACTTACTATCAGACATTTTCTTTATATTGATCACTGATCATTCTGCACTCAAGTGGTTAATTAATAAACTAAATCCTTCTGGAAGACTAGCATGCTAGATAATGGTCTTACGAGAATATAACTTCAAGATTAAACATAAACCTGATAAAATCCATTCGAATATTGATCCACTTTCTAGAATACCACACATATTCACAAAAAAAAGAGATAAAATATGAATCTGGATAATTACACAGAATTATATAACTACCTCAACACGCTAACAATACTAGATGAATTCTCAAAGAAAAAATAGAAATAGCTGCTGGCAGAATCAAAGAAATATTTTATCCAGAATAATAAACTTTATAAAAGAAATAGATAGGATGTTGATCATCCATTATTAATTATTAAATCAACAGAAGTAGAATCAGTTCTATATAATAATCATTCAGATATCACCTCAGAATATTTTAGAATTGAAACAACTTATAACTGAATAATGAGAAATTATTATTGGCCACAAATATATAAAGATATAGATGCATATATCAAAGCCTGTGACATATGTCAATGAAAAGAAAGACTACACAAAAATAATAAAATGATACCTATCCAAGTTAATACACCTTTTGAAAAGATTAGTATTAATTTAGTAGGACCTCTTCTAGTAACTGGTAATAGAAATTGCTATATTGTAGTTATTATTGATTATCTAATCAAATAGGCAGAAGCAAGACCAATTACTGATACTTCCGCAAGTATAATCATTCTCTTTCTCTATGAAGACATAGTAATAAGACATGGATTTCCAAAAGAAATACTCAGTGATAGAGGAACTACATTCATCAATAAAATAATTAAAGAATTAATAGACAAATACCAAATCAAATACAGACTTTCTATATCTTACCATTCTCAAACTAATAAACTAGTTGAGAGATTAAACTGAACTTTATATATTTCATTATCAAAGTATGTTCAGCTTTACAAGATTAGGACCATTATCTACCTTCAGTTCTATTCGCCTACAGGATAATAAAATAAAGTATAACTTTATTTGAATCTTTTCAACTAGTATATGATCGATAAGCAATCATACTATTAGATATTGAGTTAAAAGATTTTAATAATCTTACTTTTGAAGAAGCTCTCATCAAAAGAACATGTGAACTAATTGATAAATTGGAAATTACATGAGAACTAGCTCTTAGTAATATTCAAGAAGAATAATCAAAACAAAAAGAACAGTATGACAAGAAATAAAAGTCAATAGTTTTTCAAATAGGACAGAAAGTATTAATGAGACGAATGGAAACTCAACATTGGCATTATGATAAGTTTGATGAAAAATGGAAAGGACCATTCCATATTCATGAAGCATATGATAAAGAAGTATATAAACTTAGAAATGAAGATGGAAAAGTCTTGAAAAATCCATATAATGGTGATCACCTGAAATTATATGTTGAGTTTAACAATCTGGAACCAATAATTATCATTAATAATAATTGAGATTTATGGAGTAAATCACTTAAAGCCAGAGATCCTATAATTAATTAACTTATTCGTGTGATGCAGTAGACACGGTGTAGTAAATGGTGTAGCTATAGCACATAACGTAGTAATTGCCAATCATTACTAAATTAGACGAATAAGTAATTTATATTAATTAATTTGATTTATTATTAGTTCTGTTTTTAATTCATATTATTATCCGTATTTAGTCTTATTCAAATATTAATTTAGCTATATATGTCACACTTAATTTACAGTTTAATTAAATTAATAATTTCTTTATTAATTATTTTTATCTTTTCTTTCTTTTCTTAAATTATCTTTAAATAATTTAATATTTTGCTAATTTAAATTCTTTATTATCATGTATTTAATATTCTTTGTGATTATTCT